GCAGGGGCCGCGGGCAGGGCCTGGGGCGCGCGCGGCCGGGCGCCATGGCCGAGTCGCAGCTGAGCTGCCTGGACGAGGCGCACGTGAACGAGAGGGTGACCGAGGTGCAGGCCGCCTTCTACTACTGCGAGCGGCGGCGGGCCGCCCTGGAGGCACTGCTGGGCGGCGGTGAGCAAGCCTACCGCGAGCGGGTCGAGAAGGAGCGGCTACGGGACTTCCTGTCCGGCCCCGAGCGCCAGGCGCTGCGCGCCGCCTGGAGACCCTACGAGGATGCAGCCCCCGCCGCCCGCGGCAAGAGCAAGGCCAAGGCCCCGGTGCAGGTGGTGGCCGAGCCCTCCGAGTCCCTGGCTTACTGGCCCGACCGCTCCGACACCGAGGTGCCCCCGCTGGACCTGGGCTGGACCGACACTGGCTTCTACCGCGGCGTGAGCCGGGTCACCCTTTTCACCCACCCACCCAAGGAGGAGAAGGCGCCCCACCTCAAGCAGGTGGTCAGGCAGATGGTCCAACAGGCCCAGAAGGTAGGCCCCGCCCCCACCCGAGGGGACCCCACTCGCAGGCCAGGCCCTCCTTCAGAGCCTGTGCCCGGGGCAGCTACCCTAACAACCTGCTGGAAAAGGGGCGCCGACCACCCTCACCTTGTGGGCCTGTGGTGAGGCTTCCAGAGAGAATGGATGTGAACGTGTTTCGGCAGATTATTAGTTGCTGGGCAGATGTTAGTCATCATTATGACAATGTCCAGAGGCACTGGCTTTTCTCAGCTCTGTGGCTTTCCTCTCCCTAGAGAACAGTGGTGGCTGTGGGGCCCTGTGGTGAAGTGGGCCACTGCAAGGCCTTGATAATAACCTATATGCTGCACAGTGATTTACAGAACACTCTTGTGGTCATTTTCCGGTTTGATCCTCAAACAACCCCTGGAAGTGGGCATGGGGACACTCCCACCCCAGCCTCTCAGGAACACCCCACCCCCACCAGTCAAGGCTGGCCTCACACCTCCATTCACGCTTCCCCTTCCCTCCCTGACCCTTCCCTCCCTGACCCGCTCCTAGCCCAAGACTCCAGCCGTCTGCAATGCATGAGGAAATGTCCTGTGACCATCCAGTATGTGCCTGGCACTGTGCTGAGTGGGCACTTTGACAAGGCAGGTGGCTGGACCGGGCAACTCAGGAAAAATCTCTCACTTATCACACCCACTCCCCTTGCCAGTTGAACGGTGGCTGGTTCAAATACCGGCAGGACCAGTAGGGTGTGGGGCAGGGGGATGATTTTCACCTTTACTCTGTGTAAGGGTAGGTAGGTGGAGTTTCTAGATAAAATGCAGGGCGCCCCATTAAAATAGAATTTCAGATCAGCAATAAATGCTTTTTAAATACTAGAATACTTTAAAAAAAATTTGGGGGGTGGCATTAGAAAAGTATTTGTTGATTATCAGAAAATCAGTTTTAGTTGGGCATCCTTTATTTTTATTTGCTAAATCAGGTTCCCTGCACAGATTTGTTCAGAAACACCAGCAGCCTTTCCTGCCCAATTCAGAATACAGCACAGGAGTAGCTTGGGTTCACCGACTAAATCAGCTTGATCAATGTGGTTAGAGACCCGTCACCCCTGGAGGAGGGAAGATTAACTTGGGAAGGGCAGTGGGGGGTTCTTCTCCCTGAAAAGGCCGTATAGGTTGTTGGCTAGACTGGCAGCCAGGAGGAGCATTAACTTTTTTTTTTTTTTAATTTATATTGTGGTGAACACATACACAAGACATTCACCAACACAACGACCTCCCCATTTACAGCTTGGGGACATTGATGACATTTTTCATACTGTGCCATCATTACTGCTATACTTTTCCAAAATATTCCACCACTGTTTGCATAAACTCAATGCTCCACAAACAAAAGCTTTCTCCCCTCAGGAAGGGTTAACTTTGCACTGCCCTTATGTCCACCGGCCTCTCTAGTAATTCCTCCTTGTGTGATTGAAGACTGTGGGTATCTTGCCTCCTGCAGAAGAGAAGGCAAGTTTGAACAGGCAGGAGGAGAATGGTAGGTGGGTGGCAATAGAGGCAGGCTACAGCTGGGGTCAAGTCTCCTGCTGTAACACGAACAAAGCCTTGATTTATTTAGCGTTTAGTATGTGTTGGCCGCTGTGTGACGATCCATCTGCCGTTTCTTATTCAGCGAGGTCGGTATTTTCCTTACGTTCACCATTGCTGTTGAGTGGATTCTGACTCATGGTGTGTCAGAGCAGAATTATCTCCATAGGATTCTCAGTGGCTGGCTTTTCAGAAGCACATCTCCAGGCCTTTTTGCCTAGGCAGTTCTGGATGGACTGGAACCTCCAACCTTTTGGTTAGTAGCCAAACACACTGCCCTTGAGTCAGTTCTGACTCGTTAAAGAAGAATTCAGGATTCAGAACAGTTAGGTTACTGGTCTGAAGTCTCATAGCTAGTAAGTGGCTGAGCTGGGATTGAAACACCAAAGCCCTTGCTCTTAGCCACTGAGCCACCCTATGCTGTTGTCTGAGTCCTGGTGCAGTAGGTTTATGTCAAGGAGTTTGAATGGAGCTAACCTGGCTGCCTCAGGCTATGTGTCCTGATTACAAAACAGAGGGAGTGGCCCCTGCCCACTGGGGCTCTAGTGTCCTGTGGGATGATGATGAGATAAACTCTTGTATCCTGGGATATTCTTGCCTCTAATTATTTAACAGCAGACACTTTAATAATTGTGAACCAATACTATATACATGTTTAAAACCAAAAAAACCCTATAGCCTTAGTTGTTGTTGTTATGTGCCGTCGAGTCGACCCCGACTCATAGTGACCCCTCCTTGGGTTGCTGAGGCAGTATCACTACGGAAGTAGGATTGCCCAACCTTCTTTCCGAGGAGTGGTTGGTGGGTTTGAACCGCCAGCCTTCTGGTTAGCAGTCAAGTGCTTTAGCCACTATGCTACCAGAGCTCCTTAGAGTGGCTTCTAACTCATGGCTAACCCACGTATTAGAGTAAAACTGCTTTATAGGGTTTTCTTGGTTATAAACTTATGGAAACAGATCACCAGTCTTTTCTCCCATGTTGCCACTGGGGGGGTTCGAACCACCAATCTCTTGTTTGTTTTTTAACTTTTCATTGTGATTCGGGTGAAGTTTTCCAGAGCAGATTCATTTTCCGTTCAACAGTTCATACACGTTTTGTTGCTTGACACTGATTACAATCCCCACAATGTAGCAGCTCTCCTCCCACTTCCTCCCTGTGGTTACCCTTCCCCTATGTCCTTTTCCTCCCAGAGCTATGTGCCAATCTTTTTGTTAGTAGTCAGGGTGCAAAACTGCACTGCCCAGGGGCCTATTAACCAGTAGTTATTTCCTGAGTGCCTACTGTGTGCTAGCTCTAGCCATGCAAAGGGTATAAGCGGTGGCCTTTGCCCTCCAAGAACTTACATGGTGGAGGAATCTGCTGGAAGAGGAAAAAGAGTTTTTGAGACTGGATATGCCTAATCTGAGATGGCGTCCTGAGGGAGGTGATTAAACTGGGCAGTTTGTCGGTAAAGGGGGGGGCGTGGAGGGCACACAGGAGTGAGAGATTTTTGCTCTAGAAAAGCAAATTTGATTGGCAGGAACAAAGGATTGTCATGGTAGAGGGGCCTAGTGCAGGAGTACTACAACCGGGTCCAAGGCAGGTGACCACCCACTGAAGAAGCAGCTTCTGACCCTGTCCTCTGCACCCCCCGCTCAAGTCCCAGGCCCTCTGGGCCCCCATCCTGCTGTTCTGAATCACTGCCCCTCACGTCTGTACAGTTCCTTCTGAAAGACAGGTAGGTCAGTAAAGTAGGAGACAGTTTGATCCTGTTTCACAGGTGAGGAAACTGAGGCACAGAGAAGGAAAAGGGCTTGCCCAAAAGTCATATGGCTGGCTAAAGGACCCAGGACAAGAACCTAGTTCCCTAGCTTCTGCTCTTAGAGCTGTGCCCTCTGACCTCCACTGCCTGCCCCTCACCTCAACCCTGCTTGTCCAACTGGCAAGCTACCTTCCGTGGCCTATAAATTAGATGCTTCCTCCTTCCTTCTCACCCCGAGGGAGAGAGTTTCCTTTGTTTCCAGTCAAAGTCTGGCTGACTGGAGGCTGGCGAGGCCGGAGGCCGGAGGCCGACCGTGATGGTTTATGTGCAGAGACCTGGCATCCATGTTGCGGGGGGAGGCAGAAGGCCATGCTGTGTTCCACACAGTTGCATATTTTATGTCATTTAAAACCCAGGATAACCTTGTAAAGTGACATCGTTTTTTATCCCCAAGTGACAGGAGCTGAGGCCCAGGGGGAGTTGCCGTGACTTGTCTACAGTGGGAGATTCCACACCTGGCCCTCAGGCCTGTGGAGCAAGGACAGAGAAGCCTAATTATGGAGACGACTTCAAAATTTGTAATAAGGAGGAGGGGCTAGGGCGGTGGCCAGTGAGGAAACCACCCAGGCTGTGGAAGTGGGAGCCTGTGGGGTAGATGAAGGCCTTTGTCCAAGTTCTGTGCTCTCTCTGCAGAAATGGCCGAAAGCCCTCCTGGGCTGGGTCTGAATAACCAGCATTCAATCTTTATGCTGTGTTTACTTGTGGGGTGGGGTTTTTCTCTTGCTTTTTGAACCTCTTGAGTTACCAGAGTATTTCAGTGTCACTGAATGCTGTACTTTTTCTGCTTGAAACCCAGGCAGAAAGGGTGCCTTCGGGGACCCAGAAGGGAGCCCTTGAGGGCCTGGCTCTTGTCGCATAGACTAGGGGAACTTGCTGATGTTTGGGCTGCTAAGCGAGCAAGTGGTCTCAAAACAAAGGCTGTGTGTAGGTTGGGGAACTCCTGGTTCTTACTTGTAAAGCCAGAATCAGAGGCTCAGGCAACCGTAATTTGGATAGGCTGGGACTAGGAGGACTACTGGGTCCTTTTGGCCACTTGACAGAGAGCACTTTAAGTCGAAAATAGACTATAAAACACATCTCTGCTCTTAACCAGCCTAATAGGCTGCTAAGCCATCATGATGACGTGGTGTGATAAGCGCTTAACAGAGGGTATGGCAGGAGGGGTGCTGACCAGCCCCTAAGCACAATTAGGGCAGGACCTTTGATGCTGAGGGAGCTATGGGGGCGTAGTGCCTAAGAAATTTGACAGCTAACCAGAAAGGTGATGGTTCAAACCCACCAGCCACTCCTCAGAAGGAAGATTGGGCGATCTACTTCTCCTCGAAAGGAAAATTGGGCAATCTGCTTTTCCTCGGAAGGAAGACTGGGCAATCTACTTCCATAATGATACCGTCTTCAGAAACCCAAGGAGGGATCGTTATGAGTTGGATCTGACTCGACAGCAGTGAGTTTGGTTTTCTTGGTTTTCTGATGCTGAAGCCCTGGCGACAAGCTTGTCTGAACTCAGAGGCAGGGAGAGACTGTACCAAGCCATCCCTCAGTCCCCACAGCTAGCCTCCTTCGTGACTGGTGGCTTCCATTTTTTGAGGCTTCTGGGCAGGTCCCTGAGTGGTACAAACAGTTTGCACTAGACC